GCTCCGTGGCCAGGGTGTGAGTCAGGGCCCCCCAGAGAAGTGCAGCAAACAGGGTGTGTGTGTGTGTGTGTGTGTGTGTGTGTGTGTGTGTGACTAGAACAGAATGCATTTCCTTTACCTATGTATGTTCTATACACATACAGAGATTTACTGTTAAGAACTGGCTCATGTGATTATGGAGGCTAGTGAGTTGAAACTCTGCAGGGAAGGCCTGCAAGCTGGAGACCAGGAGGGCTCCTGCCTGAGTGACTGGCATTTTTGATCGTGCCTCTTGACTGATTGGATGGGCGCTGCCCCCGCTTCCCCACCATTACAGAGGACAGTGCACTAAAAGTCCACAATTTAATATTAATCACAGGTGGCACTACTGGGGTAAAGAACTGGCCTCCCAATCCAGGAGACATAAGGAATACAGGTTGTATCCCTGGGTCGGGAGGATCCCCTGGCAAAGGGAATGGCGACCCACTCCATGGAGTGGAGAATCCTGGAGAATCCCATGGACAGAGGAACCTGGGGGGCTATAGTTCATAGGGTCGCAAAGAGTCAGACACAACTGAAGCAACTTAGCATGCGCGCACACACACACAGACACACACACAAACAAAAACACTCTCAAGCTGACAGTTGGACCATCACAGTCAGATGTATTTGGAACTCGATGATGCTTGGTTGGGTCTCTTCATACTTGATTTTTAAGGGTCTCTTTGGATCACCATTTAGTTGAGCCAGAGTAAGCTTTAACTAAGCTTTAAAGCTGAAGCTTTAACCAGAGCTTCAGCTGCCTATGTTCTCATCAGAGCCTGATGATGAGATGATGAGATGACCCCCCCATCAGGGTCTGATGGTTTTACTCTGGATTGTCTGCTGTGTGTCTGGAAAATATCACTGACATGGACCTTCTCACCCTGCTCTTAGATTCCTGTAAAACTTGCTTAAGGAACCAAAGCAATGTTGAAAACATGCTGAGATGGGAGGCTTTCTTCCTGGGACAGGCCCTGCTCAGCAGGCACACAGGCGTGGTCTCTGAGGGCGGATGTGCAGCCTTCTCACTGGAGGGCCCGCGCTGCTGTTTATATTTAGCCCGGAGTCCTGGGACCTGTGAGGCGGCTCACAGTGGAGCCGCTATGCGCCCGCGCGGCCCGGGGCCCGCTTGCTGGACTGGACAGAATGTCAGCAGCTAAATATAACTCTTTACAGATACACGCAGGCAGGCGAGTCCCGAGTGAGCCAAGCATCCGGCTTTAGTGGAAACATTCTCTAACAGAGTCTCTTTCCCCTGTTCGGTTTACAGTAATGAATGTAAACTCAGATCAGTGTGATTTTTCATTGAGCGCTGTCTCTGCAGTTGAGATGGTTGCAAGCACTCAGAAGGCAAAAAGAAGGCCCCCGCCTGGCCCGGCCCAGGAGCCAGCAGGCCTATCTTGCTGTTCAGATTGATTTTGTTTCCATAGGCAGAGAAGACGGGCAGTTTGGACTTCGCCACCTCATGTGTATGAATGTGGGTTGGGTGGTGCCTTTGGGGTTTCATTTTCCCTCTGTCTCAGACTGCTTCAGGACACAGGCACCGGTGTGGGCTCCTGGACAAGTGACCAGAGCAGGGCACCCTCTGCGGAATTGGCTGCCTGCGGCCGAGATGGCCTTACCTCAGCAGCTGTTCCAGCTCACAGTCTGCTTTTCTATGTCTATTTTTTATTGTTATCAGTTCCTTCGGCCTGGGGATTCAGAAGCACTTCATAGCCAGTGATTCTTGAGAAAGCAAAAGGGGAGCAAGCTGAGTCGTCACACCCAGCATCAGGCCTGTGCTTCTGGGGACCGGGCTCTGCACTTGGGTTGGCCCTGACTTGACATGAGGGGCTTGGAGAGACGCAGACCCGGGCCCTTCCCAGCCTGTTGAGTTAGAATTTGGGGTATGTGTTCTCGGACCAAGGAGGTAGAGTGGGAAGTGGGCTTTTAAATGGGGCCCCGAAGCAATCCCCCCACAGACCCCCAAGTCTGGGGGTCTTGCGAATCAAAGTAGAAATATGTACTTGCTGCTCAGAGTTGTGGCATTGTTCCAGACCGGGAGAGCGATGTAGGCGTCCGGGTGGTGGGGGACAGGGACAGGAGGCTGCAGGACCCAGCGAGGCCTCCTTCCCTCCTGCCTGCTCCTCTGCTCCCCAGATTCAGTGTCCCGGCTTCCCGGAAGGAAGAGGGAGCTGCTGGAGATGAGACACCATTGCCATGCCTTCCAGAGGCTTCCTCAAGGCTGTTTCCCTCGCCTTTGGCTAAGGAAGGTCCTGCAAAACGGAGGAACGTGAGCAGGGCTTCAGGGTCTGACTCGGGCTTCCTTCAGTCCCAGATCCTCTTCTCACCTGCTGTTGCTCTCTCTGTAAATAAGGGACTGTTTGAGCAGTGAAGTAGGGACTGGGCATTGGAACTCCTGGCTTCTGGTTTTGGTTCTGCGCTCATAGATGTGAACCAGCTGGGCGCATGGTCACCCCGCCCCCGACGGGACCTGGGAGCGGGCAGTGTGTTCAGAAGATGCTGCAGCCAACCCACAGGGTGAGACCCCGGCAGCACCCGAGCCTTCCCACCCCTCCTGCTGGGCTCTTTCCTGGGCAGGCCGGGCGTCAGTCCTGTTCTGAGAAAACCCCAGCGGTTCAGTTCTCCTCAGCAGGTGAAGGTTCAGCCACAAGCAGCCCCGACCCCACGCTTGCTGCTGGTGCATGTCCAGGCCTCGCTCCTCCCCCTGCTGACCCTGACACGCATTCTCCATCTGGCAGCCTCGCCCCCGCCCACCCCGATCTCTCAGGAAGAGCACCCGTTTCCCTTGCAGACCACTGTCTAGAGGGGTGGGGTCCTTGTCCTTCCGGAGCTCAGTCTCCTAACCAGATGACACTGGGACTTAGACACGGACCTGGCCCTCTGGCTCCTACTCTGCATCTGCTGAGCTGGTGCTCCAGCCAAGGGGCAAAGACTGGTGTCCAGGTGGTGACTTGTGCAGAGAAACACCTCTGTGCCTGCCCCGCCGTCTCTCTGAATTGTTGAATGGATGGTTGTGACTTGGAGCTCAGAGTACAGGTCTCCATGTGTTCTTACCTGTGTTGTCAGCTGAGGCCCAGGGTTAACAGGAAGGCCTTCTCTGGGGATGGTAGATTTTCCTAGAGGCCAAGTAGCCGAAAGACTCTTCATAGGTGGTCAGTGTACCTACTAAATCTTTTCACGCAAGAAAATCAGCTAAAACATTTTGAGACCATGATAACCGATTACAGCATTGTTTAAACTCATGGAGGGTCAGTAGCTAATTTTGAAGGAGATCACCATGCAAATAGCATATTTTGATTTCATCCATTAGCTTCACTCAGCTAAACTTCATGAAAATCACCATGTTGTTATTTTTCTTATTTTACTCAAGACTGGAGAAAGCCTTTAATGTTGGGAACCACAGGTTAGATAAACAGCAAATCCAGCCAAATGAAGCCTTGCCTGGCTGGTAACTGTACCCAGAATGTCCATGCCATCCTACTGGGAAGGTGCCAGGCGAGAGGGAGGAATGACAAGAAGGCCCGTGTGGATCTGGGAGATGATAAAAAGATTAACAGTGACTCTAAGCAAGATAAAATTCTTTAAAAAAATTTTTATTGCAGTAACATTGATTTATAACATTATATAAGCCTCACATGTACAACATTATACTTCTGTTTCCACTACAGCTGCTCACCACCAAAAGTTTAGTTTCCATCTGTCACTGTACTGCTCACCCCTATACCTGTCCCCATCCTCTCTGTAACCATTATTCTCTCTTCTTGATCTGTCTATTATCCTTTAGTTTGTTCATTTATTTTCTCATTTCCTTTGCTTGCTCTTTTCCTATTTCACCAGTGACTGAAATCTCACAGTACTTGTCTTTCTCCATCTGACGTTTCACTTGGAATAACAACTCAAGTTTCACCCATGTTGTTGCAGATGGCTAGATTTCATCCTTTGTATGGCTGTGTAATATTCCATCCCACTCAGATTTATACATACACATACCCGCCGCCACACACATCTTTTATCTGTTTTTCCATTTTTCCACTGATGGCCATTTAGTTTGTTTCCATAGCTTGGCTACTGTAAATAATGCTGCCGTGAACATTGGTGTGCATATATCTTTTATAGTTAATGTTTTGTTTTCTTCTGATAAATATCCAGGAGTGGAGGAATTGCTCAGTCGTATCTAATATTGAGTAGAACCATTTTTGCATCCCTGGATAAATCCCACTTGTTTGTGATGTATGGTCTCTTAAGTGTATTATTATATTCAGTTTGCTAACATTTTACTGGGTTTTTTTGCATCTATGTTCCTCAGAGATATTGGCCTGTAATATTCTTTTTGTGCGTTACCTTTGTATGGTTTTGGTATCGGGGTGATATTGGCCTTGAAAAATCAGTTAGGAAGTCTTCCCTCCTCTTCAGTTTTGCGGGTAATTTAAGAAGGACAGGTATCAAATCATTGACTGTTTGTTAGGATTTACCAGAAAAACTGTCTGGTCCTGGACTTGTGTGTTAGGGGAGGTTTTGGTTACCGTTTCAATCTCCTTACAAGTGATTGGTCTGTTGAGATTTTCTTTCTTCATGATTCAGTCTTAGAAAGTTGTACAAATTTAAGAATTTGTCCGTTTCCTCTAGGTTGTCCAGTTTGTCGGTGTGTAGCTCTTCCTAATATTCTCTTACAGTCCCTCACAAATACATACTTCGAGGGAAAGTCCTGAAAGCTCTAGTGTCTTTGTTCTGGGGCTAAGAAAGAGAGTGCACTCTGGAAATTCTCCTCTTTTCTCTGGATTCCTTCTGGCGAAGGTCAGACAGAGAAAACCGTCACCCTGCCGTATCCTAAGAGACTTGGTTTTGGAATAGGATGTCTTCCGTCCCCTGTGGCTAGTGACTGCAGCCTCCATGAAGGAAAATCTGGCCTCAGGTGCGGGCTCTCTGCTGTTTCAGAGCCCCATCGTCTCTGACTTGACTTTTCTTTCTCCTCTCAGGCTGCTTGATCGGGGCCGTGAATCTCAAATCCAGCAACCGAAACCCAGTGGTTCAGGAATTTGAAAGTAAGTACGAGGGAGCCTTGAGGCAAAGGGGCATCACTCGGTGGTCTGGCGGCTGACGCAGGACAGGCACACGGACACGCGTGCCTGAGAGCCCCATCGGCAGCCCCCAGTGTGCGCGCATGTCAGCGCGGCTTGGCTTCGGCGGCTCTCAGCAACTCAGCGGGCTCCCTGCTGGCCACCACCTGGTCCCTAGTGCGTCTGCATTTACATGGCCAAGAGCATTCTGACGTAGAAGCATAGGACGAGGGGGACATGCACTCTCTTTGCTAATCATCTTCATTGTTTTTCTGGCTAAAATTAAATTCTCTTGGAGTCTGGCGCTAACTGGATCTTTAATCTACACGACAGAGCTAAATAGACATAGCTTGTAGGGTCTGGGTATACAGGTGAATCTGAAATTGTTCCACGTTCACAGAGAGTTTTATTTTTTTAACCCCTTTCTCATTAGGTGTAGAACTATCTTGTATCATTACGGATTCACAGACAAATGACCCCAGGATTGAATGGAAGAAGATCCAAGATGAACAAACCACCTATGTGTTTTTCGACAACAAGATTCAGGGTATGATCCTGTGGTCCTCTCCTTTGTATAGAAGGCCCAGGCGTGCACTTGCAGCCAAGACTTGGCTCTACATGGACCTACATCTGTAGCCAGGATTGGTTTTCTGTCTGTTTTCCTGTGGAGAATTCAAGCATGCAGAAGTGGTGAGGATAGGGGTGGAGCCTCTCTGTAGCTGCCTCTCTGCTTCAGTAAATATCACCTCCTCAGGAGGACTTTAGTCCCCATGCAACCATCTCTTTGAGATGTCTAGTGAACGTTCCCCGAGGCCACTTCCCTATCGTGAGCCGTGACTTTACAAGTTCAGTGACTTCAGCAGCAGGGGGACAGCAGTGACCACTGCACACACCTGGGTGCCGATCACACCTCACAGGAGAGCAGGGTGGGGGTGTAGAGTTGTGTCCAGCTCTTCGTACGGGGGTGCTGGCCCAGGAGCACGCAGGGCACAAAGACATGGAAGCATAGGGAGCTTCATGACATACTCTGCGTATAAGTTAAATAAGCAGGGTGACAATATACAGCCTTGACGTACTCCTTCCCAATTTGGAACAAATAACTGTGTGTTGGGGGGGTTTGTGGGAAGCTTGTGCTTTTGGCGTCATATCTGAGAGATCACTGTCTAGTCCAAGGTCATGTCATTCACATTTCTTTCCTCCTGAGGGTTGGAGTTGTAGCTCGTGCAGTAAGGTGTGTGTTGTGTATGGTGTGGGCTGCAAGGTCGAGGTCCAGGTCGCTCTTGCATGAGGGTACCCTGTGATCGCAGCACTGTCTGTGGAATGCTCCTTGTCTTTTAGTGCTGGGCGACTAGTTTCTCCTTTAACGGGGAAGCCTTGGGGGGAGCCAGGCATCTGTAGGGAGTCCCTCAGTGCCTCTCCTCTCCACAGGAGACCTCACCGACCGTGCAGAGCTGCTGGGGAAGACGTCTCTGAAGATCTGGAACGTGACCAGGACAGACTCGGCCCTTTATCGCTGTGAGGTGGTTGCTCGGAATGACCGCAAGGAGATCGACGAGATCGTCATCGAGTTGACCGTGCAAGGTGGGGGTGCACGCAGGGCGGAGGCCCCTTGCCCTTGGCTCTGCGTCTGCTGGTGGAAACGACCAACTTCCTTTTTTTCCAGAGCCACGTCCCTGTGGGTGTGGCAGGACCCACAGGGGCTGGGCAGGGAGGGCTTTTGAGAGCTATAGGCCGGGGGCGGGGAGGGAAGTGGAGCTTCTGCCTCAGCCCTCACAAGCCAGAGGCACTGGAAAGGCTGGGGTCCCTGCAGGGGCTGGGTTTCCTGCTGTGGAGCAGCATTCTGGGTGGGCTCGGGTAAAAGCAGGCCTGGCTGCTGGTTCTCACCCCTGCCCACGCTCCTCCCGCAGTGAAGCCGGTGGCCCCCGTGTGCAGAGTGCCACGGGCCGTGCCCGTGGGCAAGGCGGCCACCCTGTCCTGCCAGGAGGGCGAGGGCTTCCCACGGCCGCACTACAGCTGGTACCGCAACGATGTGCCACTGCCCACAGACTCCAGGGCCAACCCCCGCTTCCGAAACTCCTCTTTTGTCTTAAACCCTGAGACGGGCACTCTGGTAAGAGCTCTGGGAAGAGGCGCGGTGTGGGCGTCTGTGCTGTGGGCAGAGCGCCTGTGAGCAGACAGGAGACCAAAGCTACAGACCCTCACGTCAGGGACCACTACCGCCCCCACCGCCCACCCTTTATAGACAGGAAAGCCTGTAAGTGGGTGCAGGAGGGTGGGCAGAACTGCGGGGACAGTGGCCAAGGGGGTTGCAGGGCGCCCTGCCCGGTGCCGTCTGGAGCAGAGTCGGGAGGCAGTGGGCCTTGCTCGCTGGCCACATGGTGATGTTGCGACATTGCTGGTGTGTTTGGGCCGCTCGCAGTGTCATGGACAAGACTGAACCACACTGTCGTGTTTGGGGCCAGCCCCTGGTGGGAAGGTGGGACGGTGCAAGAGCCCTGTCACCAGATCTCCCTTCACTCCCAACTCCCGGCAGGTGTTCAGCGCTGTCCACAAGGAGGACTCAGGCCAGTACTACTGCATCGCATCCAACGACGCGGGCTCGGCCCGCTGCGAGGAGCAGGACATGGAAGTGTGTGAGTGTCTGCTGAGCCTCGACCTGGGGGCTGGCGGGACGGTCATGCTTGCTGGTGCCCTCAGCTCAGCGCCCTTTGTGCTGGCCGCTCTCTGTGGGGTGCACGGGCTCCCCGGAGTCTGCTGGGTCTGGTGGGAGGACCCTCTGAAGGGCTGACCCACAGGTTCTCTCCTCAACCCACAGCTTTCACTGAAGTACCCTGATAGAGTCGTGGAAACGTAAGCTTGTGTAGGTCTCCGGGCATCTACCCAGCCTGAGCTGTTTGCAGTGAGCGGATACTAGGGCTCACCCCAGTGCTTTATGCCGTTGGGGTGATTCTTCCTCTGGGCTGTCAGGGCTCAGTGGAGGGGGCGGGGTCCAGGCCCCCCCCACCTGTGGAGCCGGTCCCCAGGGGACTCCCCAGCTGCTGCCAGATTTGGGGAGCTGCTCATGGGCAGGAGGAAGATTTCTGGGTTGTGCCCCAGAGTTCCTGACCCGAGAGGCAGAGCTTGGAAACTGACGTTATGAAATCAGAATTCAAATGCATCTTTAAGTAACTGCATGCTTACGGTCAAGAACCCTGTACCAGACAAGGGAGAACTCACAGCAGCAGCTCACAGCCTGGACAGCATTGGTCGATACACCCCTGCGTGGTTTCCACTGTGCTTTTATCCGCACAAAGGGTGCAGCCCCAGGCCCCACACTGAAGCAGAAGAGTGCAGCTGAGGATCTCCTTGAGGGATGGCTGGTGGCTGCAAGGCCACGTTCTTACCTCCTATTTGCCCTTTTAATGACCCCTTGAAACTAAATAATCTGCAGCAAAGAGAAGCCCTAGAAATTTAGGGGTTTTTCTTCCTTAGGACTCTGGTTCCTTGTTCTGTCTCTGTAGGGGAACCGTTTCTCAGTAAGAAAGCTCTAGGATGTGCCCCAGAGGCTTGTTACTCCCCATAGCGCAGGCCCTGCTCCGTGGCTGCAGCGACTATGGGGCAGCAGGTGGGCGTCACAGCCTGTGGGCGGAGCTGCTTCAGGCCAGGGAGGGGTGGAGGGGGGAGAGCACCTTCTCACCCCTCCTGTTCTCCAGATGACCTCAACATCGGCGGCATCATCGGGGGGGTCCTAGTCGTCCTGACCGTCCTGGCCCTCATCACAGGGGGCATCTGCTGTGCCTACAGACGTGGCTACTTCATCAGCCACAACCGCAACGGGGAAAGGTAAGCCTGTCCTGCATGAACAGCGTGCCCTGAGCATTGCTGTGGCCGATCAGGCATCACCCAGCTCCTCTGCTCTGTTTCAGCTACAAGAACCCAGGGAAGCCAGATGGAGTTAACTATATCAGGACAGATGAGGAGGTAAGGAAGCCTGGAGACGGTGTCTGCAGCAGGGAAGATGACATCCCCCCGAAAACCGAGCGGGTCCCTAGGAGAGGAATTTGAGTTATGTCCAGCACACAAGCCCCTCAGCATGCCCCCTGGCAGTGTGCTCATGGGGCATTCGGTCCGCAGGCCTTGCGGCCATTCCCAGCCAAGAGCACATCGAGGGAAGTGGTGTCAGGCTCCTTTTCCACCTGCTGACCACCCTCTAACCTTCTACGTTGGCCTTTCAGGGCGACTTCAGACACAAGTCCTCATTCGTGATCTAGATGGTGGCGCGGCTGTGTGCACATGCAGACACCTCCACGGGGGACCCTGCCAGGAGCAGCCCCTTGAGGGGCGCCGGATGGGGTTAGACACGCGCACAAAAGCTTTTGTTTTGGCCAAAGTTGACCGCTACTCCTTTCTTACTTTTTAACAAGCTACACAAATAAAAGAGTTTTCCTGGAGATGGGCAAGTCACCACAAGGCAAGGAAGTGGCCAGGTTCGCCAAGCCAATCCCGTGGGGTCTGCCGGCCTCGAGGTGGGCAGCCCAGGCTCGGGAGGCACCGTGACCTGTCCCGCGTTGGGGCCACGCTGGCATGAGCGTCCAGGGCTGGCAGCCAGGGTCGTGGCCCGAGCGTTGGCTGCAGTGATGGGGCTTCACGGTGGCCCCGGGGCCGCTTCATCCCCAGGCTTTGCCAAGATAGTCCTGGTGTCCATCTGGGGGATTCTTTTTGGGTCAGCATTTTATAACAGCAGCCCAGATCAGGACAGTAAACAGCTTGTTAGAAGGAGGGATCTTCTTAGCTGTGGGAACCCTGCTCATCCACAGAGGGTCCCAGCAGTGGAGAGCCTTCATCTTGTGCTGAATCTGAAATGGTACTGACATGATGTTCTGCTTTTCTATGGGTGTTTATTTTATAAAATTTTACAGTCTAAATTTTTGCTAGAGATGTATTTTGATTATTGAAAATTTCTATTTAAATTGTAAATAAGTTGTTGTATGCCGTTAAATACTGTATCTTTTTTTTTTTAAAGTTCAACTTAAGGTAGGAGCCCAAACTGCTCCTTTCAATTGGAAACACCACTGGTGGCTTAGGAAACCTTTAAGAAAATTCCAGCTGAGCAACCTCACAGTCTATTTGTGTCTGTGCAGAAGAGACACAGGCCTCCTGGGTGACCTTCCAGCTGCGTCTTCCCTGGGCCTACCCCCACCCCTACCCCAGGCCCTGAGACACAGATGTGCAGGCCGCACGCATGTTCGGCGTTGGCTCCCGAGTCTCCAGGCCAGCCCTCCCTTCCTCGTCCACCTAATACCCCAACACGGGCCATGGGCAGAACAGCTCTAACAGTGCCATTCACCTGCCATGTGGGTCCACCCAGGATAGCGCCAAGGTGGCTGGAAGGGCCCCCATGTGGCCCCCCAGCCTGGCTTCCCTGGGCCCAAGCTCTATGGCTGTGTGTGGCTCAGAAAACACAGCAGCCCTGCTGCCAGGCCTTTAAATTCCTTCTACTTACTCGGGCTTCCCTTGTGCCTCAGCTGGTAAAGAATCTGCCTACAGTGTGGGAGACCTGGGTTCAATCCCTGGGTTGGGAAGATGCCCTGGAGAAGGGAAAGGCTACCCACTCCAGTATTCTGGCCTGGAGAATTCCTTGGACTGTATACCCCATGGGGTCGCAAAAAGTTGGACACAACTGAGTGACTTACACACACATACACTACTTACTCATGCAGTTCATGAGACTGCCCAGGGCCAAAGGCAGTTTTGAGAGCAAACCTGTCAACCACATTTACATTTGTTTCAAGACAGCGACCTCCTCTATCCCTCTGCCTTGAAGACAGCGCAGGTTCCGTCTCACCTCCCAGGAGGCTGTTGTACGGGGTCGTGAGGCCAGCCTCTGATGATAGCAAGAAGGGTGGCCAGGCGACAGCCCGACTGATGGTGGGCAAAGCATGAGCCTGGGTCCAAGACAGTTTCCTGATTGTGGTGAAGTCTTTACCCAACCCACTGCCTGCTTCGAGGGGCGTCAGGAACACCATCCAGAGGCCTTTGTTCCTTGCGAGCAGGCATTCCCAGCCTCAGACACGCCGCTGTGTTCACTCCCGACGTGAAGCCATTTGGAGCAGGAGCTTCGCAGAAGGATGCTCCCACTCCTCTGTGTCACCAGACGGTTTTCACGTAGAAGAACATAGTCATCATGAGGTTAAATATTCAGTGTCGTGATTTTTTATACTTTGGGTTTTTTTAATTGAACACTAAGACTATGTTGACATTTCTTTCCTAAATGGTGTGGACACTCTGTCATGAGAACTGCAGCAGCGGAGGCAGCCCCTCATCTTGCTGGGGTAGCGTCTTCTCTGAGTTTGTAATCTGAAAGCGCAGACCTGAGAGGATCCTTCCTTCTCAGCTCCTCTCGGTGGAGAGGGAGGCGCCCTCTGTCCTGGGGGCAGCTCCGGTGACGGGGTGACCTTCTTGGACCCTAAAACCTCCACCCCACTGCCCTGTGCCCTGGCTGTGACAGAGGAGAGGGGAGTGAGTGTGGGTCTGGGAGGTTGCTGCCGGTCACTGCAGACATGCAGACAGGAAAGGAGCCTCGGGAGATTTTAGGATGTAAACATGGCAGGAGCCTGGAGGCCACACCTGCCGCTGTGGCCTCGGTATGGCTGCAGCTGTTCCCGGTGCCACAGACTTGTGCTACTAACACACCTGTACATTGGTGTTTGTTAAACCTCATTTATAAAAGCTTCTAAAAAAAAAAAAAAAGGAACTCAGCCTCTTCATTTCCCTCCTTCCTGCGTCGTATCAGGCACGCCCTGGGTTCGAAGTGCTGGACGGAGGTGAGGGTGTTGCCCCAGGGGCCACCCTCTGACTCCACTGTGCACACATGCAGAGTGTGCTGTGCAGATGTGCACACATGTCCACTCACACGTGGGAAGCCAGGGGTCAGGACAGCATCCATTCTCTCATCCTGCCACCACTCCACGTGCAGCACACACAAACAGAAACCCTGTGCTTTTGCTCCTGCAGAACTGGGATGAAACCTGAGCCATCCGAGTTTCTTTCTACTCATTCTTGGACAGAGCACACACCCACCAGTGTTTTAAGGAGACTGGTGGTCCAGAGGAGCCTAAGGCCCCCTCCACTGCAGAGACAGCCCTCTGGACGAGACATAAAGCAGTGCTCCTGTTGCTCTGGTAAAAAACAGGTTTTCTCTAAGCAGGGACTGCAGTCTATGCTAAGACGTCTGCTGTGGGGGAGGTAGAAGACCTGAAACAAAGCTTGGGTCCCTTTTCCCTAAGGGGAAAGATTTGGTTGTATGCTTCTCAGACACTCTGTCTGTTAAATGACTACTGATAAAAGCCCTGTGCTAAAAGTACTAGGAGGCTGTACCCATGCTCAACCTTTATGCATTTGAAGAATCTTTAAAAAGTGAAATTTGCAAATAATAGAAGATATTACAGTCAGGATTTTGACATCAGACATAGGAAGCTATGTACCGACTATAAGGAACTGCCTACAGTGACAGCTTCCAGGGAGAGGCAGGCAGCTGGGCTTCTAGCAGGCCCGGTGGCATGATCTCTGGACTGGATCAGAAGGGACTGGCCTGTGAGGGGAAGTATTGGCCCAGGTGAGACCATGTAGCTGATTTCTGAGCTGAATGTGATGGTCCCTGGTGAGGGGAATGGTGAGCAGAAGGTTGGCAGAGGCCTTCAGGAAGAGAAGCTGGGGCGGGTGGAGCATGAGCAGGTGTGTGTCCAGCTGCGCATCCCACAGCAGTGCCAGAGCCTGGCGTCCCTCCGCCGGCTCCCCTGCAAGACTGGACGGCTGCCCTGACCGCCTTCCGAGCACCAGTGCTCACAGCCTCAGCAACTTTTCACATAGTGCTGACATATTAGGCATTATAAGTAACCTAGAGATGATTTAAAGTACTTGAGAGGTGGTGTTGGTTATATGCAAACGCTAAGCCACTTAATATGAGGGACTTAAGCACCCATGGATTTTGCTCTTGAGAGGTTTCCTGGAACCAATGCCCTGGTTCACCAAGGTATTGGTTCATCACCAAGGGATGATTGTACATGTTCAGTGGAATATCCTTCAGCCTTAAAAGTAGAATGATGCTTCTTGTTACATGGATGTACCTTAGAAACCACACCCCCCCTGCAAGAAATAATTCAGACACAGAAGAAAGAATATTGTAGGGTCCCTCTTAGTGAGGTCCCTCAAGTAGGCAAAGCCAGAGACAGTGGCCTGGAGGTTGCCTGGGGCCAGGTTCTGGAGAAGTAGGAGCTGCTGTTTGCTGGGGACAAAGTGGGATGATGAACAAGTTGTGGACATGGATGGTGGTGTTGACTATACACGTAAATGTATTGCCACTGGAGTTATACACGTAAAGGTGGTTAAAATGGTAAATTTTATGTTGTGTATGTTTTACCAGGATAAGCAATATTTTTAAATAGTGATAATGGTGAAGATGTGGGAAAATGAAAAACAGTGGGAATACAAAGGCAGAGCCCTCATGTCACATTCAGTTGTAGGAATCTCCCGAGATAAAAAGGCTACATTTGATAAAGGGGAAATCTTGACGTCACCCTGACTGACTGTCTTCACTAACCTTCAGTTGGGTAGCAGAGAAGACTCCCTCATGGTTCAAGAGTCCAAAAGCCAGACCTCAGACAGGACTGCTGACTGACATGCACTGCAGATTGTCCATGACCACACAAGCATTCCCTTTCATACCCTGTGGTCACGAATGCAGTTACACCAGTTGATGTTTTACCTGACATATTCATTGAAAGAATTCAGGAGGCCTTAAGTAAAAGTCGTTAAGTAAGTTGGGTTATTAGGTATATGCTTTCTGGTGTATGGGCTTCCTTGGTGACTCAAATGGTGAAGAATCTGTCTGAATATCAATACTTTTAAAACTGTTACATCACTTTCTTGCATATTCAGTAGATTCCAAATGCCATACTGATTTGAGGATCATCATTTTAGAAATAGAGACATGTTCTCCAATTTATTGTTGGAATAATGATAGATTCACAGGAAGTTGCAAAGTTAATACAGAGTGGTCCACGGTACCCCCACTAAGTTTAAAAACAAAACTTTAGAAAGAAGACTTTCCTACAATGAATTTTTGGTCCAGCACAACTCTGGAAAACTAGTTTCTCCCCATGCCACAACATACAGCAAGATTTTGTACTCTTGGCCATTTGTCCCAGATCAAAGGAAACATGTTCATACAAAAGTCTGCACACAAATGGACACAACAGTTTTATTCATCATAGCCCCTGCCATGGGTGAGCATTTAAAGTGTGGGAGGGTGGCCACACGCCCTCTGAGAACTTAACAGTCCCAGTTTGGTTTTCTTTTCCAGCTCTGGGGGCTGAACATCTCAGGGGCCCTGTTGTGCTTTCCTGTTGTGGGAGACGTTGCATTCCCTTGCAGGGACATACCTGTGTGGGTTGGAAAGCCTCTGAGGGCCTGGGTATATCAGAAATGGGACCTGGGGTGGGACCCCCCCCCCCCCAGGGACTACTTTGTCCCCCTGATCTGGGGCTTTCGATGCTGTCCAGCTTCCCTGGGGCACGCGTCCTGGTCCTAGTCTGGAGGGACTGGTTTCTGACTTCCTCTTCTCTCCGGATGTTTTACTGCTGGTCCCTGGTCAGGAAAATGGTTTGCAGAAAGTTAGCAAAGGCTTTCAAGTAGAGAAGCTGAGCAACGGTGGGTGCACATCCAGCTGCGGGTCAACCAGGCCCACGGCGGTGCCAGAGCCTGGCCTCCCTCCTCAAGCTCCCCTGCAGGACCCGACAGACTGCCTTCCAAGTACCAGCGCTCACAGCCTCAGCTCCTCCCCAGCCACCTGTTGTGCCCGAGGGCCCTACCCGCAGCTCAGAGCCCCCGAATCCCACCCTCTCTCTGCCGTATCTCCCCATCGCCTGAAGATGCTGCCCTGCCCGCTGCCTCCTCTGTTCACTGCCACTCACCCTCCCACCGTGTTCTGACTTGGCCTTTTCATCCCAGCAGCTGTGTAAGCCACTCTGAGAACCTTTGTCTCTGGGAGGGAGACAGGCACCTCCCTTAGGGGAGTTGCAGGGTTTAAATAAGTTCATTCGGGTTATGTCCTCACTGGGTGCTCGGTCAGCACAAGGTGAGTGCTGAGGACACAGAACCACGACTGCCATGTGCTGGTGGGGCTCCTGCATCACCAAAGGCATCTGTGTCCAAATCCACTTGTGCTCAGAGGGCTCAGCCCTCCACCTGGGCTCCACCTGAGAGCAGATGCCAGTGCCCCAGGATGCCCCCACCTCTTCCCCACTGCCTCTGTCACCATGCCCGCCAGATGGCCAGGCTCCATGTGCCCCCTGCACTGTGACCGATGGGGTCTAGGGAGAAAACCAAGTATCGTCTGCTTAGAAACCAACACAACAGTCACAGCACTGAGCTCGCCAGTGAAGGGGGAGCAGTTAGCGTTTATTTAGCAGTTAGTGTAACAGCAGGACCCTACAGGGCCTTGCCAGAATGCACCCCTGCCCCATACCCTCCTCCTGCCTTTCATCCATAGAAAACTTTAGTCAAAGGATAAATGTAATGAGGCGAGAAAATGCAAAAAGTCAACCAAAACAAAATCACAGTTTAGCCATTAAACAAAGTCAAGGACTTTAGCTCCTCCTCAGGTGCTACAAATAATATTCTGAGCCATGTCCTTTGAGCTGTTTTGCAGAGACCGAAACCCCCACCAGGTGGAAGGAGTTAACTGTATACTGCTTACAAGCACCTGCATGGGTTGGAACCAGGTTGAGGATATTGGTTCCTGATTACTTCACCAGTCAGAAGAAGGTCTACAACCTGGTTCCACACATCTCTCGGCCCCCTTCCATCACCTGGTCTTTAAAATGTTCCCTGAAAGCCTTTGGGGAATATTTGGTGGAAAACAACTAAATTCTGTAAAGCAATTTCCTTCAATTAAAAAAAATAAAATCAGAAGGAAAAAAAAGGCTTTGGGGCATCTGAGTCCTTTAAGCACAAGCTGCCTGGACTCCTGGCCAGGTCCTAAATAAATGCTGAACTTTTCTTTCCAACACCCTGGCATCAATTGGTTGGCTTTTTTTTTTTTAATTGGAGAATAGTTGTTTTACAGTGTTGTATTGGTTTCTGCAATACAGCAACATAAATCAACCACAAGTATACCTATGTCCCACCCCTCTAGGTTGTCACAGAGTACCGAGTTGAGCTCCCAGTGTGGCTTTATTGATTCCCCCACCCCCACCGCAGCAGACTCAAGTTTCGTTTGGTAACAGCTGGTGCAGGTACTAAATTAATCTTCACAAATGCCAGGGAAGGAGCGTTTAGAACCCCCATTTGACCTAAGCAACCGAGGCTTTACAAGGTTAACCAACTGGCCCATGATACTCAGACGCTCAGTGATGGACAGACCTCTGGTCCCACGTGTGACTGCCGAGCTCAGCTTTGGGAAAAGACCACTGCAAGGACAGGTAAGCTCTTTGGAAGCCAAGGGGAACCACTGAAGGTTCAAAGACCTGGTGGGCTGCCGGCCTTGTCAGAGTGGTCCTAGAAAGGGCGTGCGGCCGAAAGGGCCAGCACCAGGAGGGGCAGGAGGCGCCCCCAGCGCCGAGGCCGGCCCCAGAGAGGACGTGGGAGAGCGGTCACCAGCAGCTGCAGGGACCGGGGGGATTATAAAAAATGTAGGTCCCCATGTCCTTCTCTGAACAATTTCATGTCAGAATGTGCTGGGGGTAA